TCTCAGTGAAGGAGCAGTTTAAAAGGGAAGGACTCGGGCTCGATGTGGAAAGGGTGAACAAAATCGCTAAAAGAGATATTGAAGAGATCATTCGAAACTATGCACGCTCAGAAAGTCACATTGACTTGACTTTCTCTCGAGAACTGACCATGGATGAGCGGAAGCAGATACATCAGATCGCCCAAAAATACGGTCTTAAAAGTAAATCTCACGGGCAGGGGCACAACAGGTACTTGGTGGTAAGCAGGAAGCGGCGCAAGGAAGATCTCTTAGACCAGCTGAAGCAAGAAGGCCAGGTTGGGCATTACGAACTGATCATGCCTCAAGCAAACTGAGGCTGGGTGTCCCGTTTTACCGGAGACCGAGCTTCCTAGGTATTCGATTAAAGAGAGAGATGCTGCATTTTTCTTGTTGTGGGTTATATTAACGTTAAGGTCTTCTACTTCGTTAATATAATTTCTAAAACGTTGTTAGGCGTTTAGAACTGACCGAGTTCTGTTCCAAGTACATTAGCACAACCCAAAAGCAGTAGTGCTGTTGCTGTATGTGTCTTTGATATTACTTGTTCCTTCACATTTTAATAGTTTTGTAATAGCAAAACCACACATCCAACGAGAAGGAATTTGACATCATTAAAAATTATAGTTCCCTTCTTCTTCTTGACCAAGGAAGGAAAAAAAATGCCTTTTTTTTTTTTTTTACAAAACAATAAAACAATAAAAAGCAAAGGAAATGCAGTCTGGGGGAATAAACCTGTATGTAAAGTTGGTATTAATGACAATAAAAATAAAGTTTTATTTCTGGAAAAAACCAGGATTTGTCACACTTTGTATTAAAAAAAAAAAGTGTGAAAACTGCGTTTATTCTTGAGAACTATATATATAGCGAGGTCTTGTCTCTGCTGTGTATGTATGTAGAGAGATGTCCTTAACCAGTTTAACTGTACAGTTTTATTCATAGATTTCTACCTTGAGTCTCCCATACTGAGAATTACTGAACGCACCTTAATCGTCAGCGTATCGGGCTAAGAGAATTCCCGTGCATTTTTACCTTGGAGCACCGCTTGACGTGTGCAAATACCGTGGTGAAGTGTGAAATACAAGAACTGGAGGTAACCGCAGAGCCCACGCTCAAAGATGCTCGTGGGGACTGTTACATAACTTATTTTTTTACTTTGAAGATAAGCTCTTCAATCCTGAGCAAAATCAAATCTGTGCCTAATCATTTCTCCGCTCCGTTACCGTACCTGCGCTTCTGTATGTCACGGGCGATTCACGAGTAAACTTTCTGGCGTTGCTCCGACGTGCGGTGTGAGTGTGGCGTCTCTCCAGGCCCGGCACGCGCTGCCGGGAGGCCGGAGCGCTCCTCTCCTTGCCCGGGAAGGAGGCCCTGACCTCCGCCTGTGCCGGTCCGCCAGCAGGACCACAGGAAGGCGGTGCTTTGGAACCTTGGAGGAACGCTGGCTCCGTGTTTGGAGGACATGGCGGTTAGGCACTGGCCTTGGAAGAGCCAAGAGTGGGATGTGCCTAGAGGTGCTGGGTTTTTGCTGCCACCAGTAGGGCCCGCTGATGATTCTTTAGCGCGAAGCCAGTCCTAATGAAGTTGTTTTGGGTTTTTTTTTGTTAGTTCTCCTGGTGCCTTGTGCCTCAGCTATCGCTTTTGTTTTTCTGCTGCCTATAGTTGCCTCTCCATCTTTTTACATCATCCTCTAGCTTTTTTCCCCACCTCCTATTCTGTTTTGTTTTCAAATACTCTCAGGGCTGAGGGTGACTGACCTCTACTGATGAAGCAGAATATCCTGGTGATGTGGCGAGAGGCATTTTCATCCCCATCGTTCAGTGTGGAAAGGAAGAGGCTGCCCTGGCAGGTAAGGCTCGCTCAGGACGAAGAGAGCGAGCATTCCCTCCTCTCTCTGCCTGGAGGGCTGCAGCACAGCTTCTGCTAGCTTGGGACTCCTGAAATAAAAACATGCTGCTGCTGTCTCTGCAGAAAAATAATCTGGCAGTGCATTCTGAAAGTGTGTTGGTTTTGTTGTTTGGGGTTTTTTCTCTGTGTGTGTGTTATTCCCTCTGCTTCTGAATTCTGCTCTCGGGAACGCTGGGCTCTGGCAGATGGTGATGTAGGAGTGGAAGAAGCCTGGTACTTTCCAGGCAGCTACTCCTGCAAGCAGGAGCGCAGCTCCCCCTCCCTAACTTGGCCGTGCAGCAGGTCTTCAAAGCTTGGCGATGCCGAAGCAAGGCAGCAGGAGCACCACTGCGGTATTCGGGATGAAAAATGCCTCTAGGGGGGGCGGGGGGGGCTGGCTGGCTAAACATATTGGTACCTCAACGGGGCGGCGATCTAGTGTGACTCTGTGCAGGGTGTTGCTTCTCCTGTCCCAGGTAGTGGCCGTGACACTCCGTCACCCGTCCTTGCCGAGTGCGGTACCTCTGTGCAGGACCTGTCTGGTTCAGTTAGTGGCTGTAGGTTTGGGTGACGGTGTTACCTGTTTGAGCTAAAGAATTGCTGGCCTCTCCGGCTCGGGTGTGTTTATAGAGCCGTAAGCTTTCCGGAGAGCCAGCACGTGGTTTAAAAGTAAGTTAGTGGATGAAAGCCGTGCCTGAGAGGGGCGTAAAGGTGAGGTTTGTGCCTTTTTTTTTTGTTTTTTTTTCAGCTGCGTGCTGCTCTTGTTTCTGCCTGCCTGAAGAGTCCACTCCATCCTTTCCTTTTTTTTTAGTGACTAGCAAGACAAAAATACAAAAAAAAATGGAGGGACTGATGCGAGGGCTTCTGTCTGATTAGGATGATGTTCTACTTGCAGTAGTTTGCAGAAATCGTTGCAGCTGGTACAGGGCCACGGTTAAGATACTCTTGGTTGGCTTCGGTCATCCCTAGCAGTGCAGGTGCTGGGGTTGAGGTTGGATTGTTTGTTTGGGGGGGGGGGTTGCACTGGTCTATAACTTAGTGGGTGCAACTAAGGTGCTCGTTGCTTGGCTGGCTCTGACTTGGGAAGGTCTGGCGCAGGGAATGCTTAAGAAACAAAGACGATTACTTGAGGCAGACTCACTCTGTCCTGCCTCCTCCACACCCCCCCAAGAGATTGCCAGACCTGGCTGCTGCGAGGGTCCGGTTAAGACACTCGGTCCTTTAGGAAAATGAGCAAGTATAACTTGGGTTGGCCTTCCGTGGTAAAAGGCTGTTCCATGTAGGACAGCAGGCCTGTTCAGGGGTACGAGCTGTCGTCACAGCAGGTACAAATCCCAATCCAGTTTATTTGGGAGAGCCTGGCAGCTTCCATCTCAATTGTGGAGCTAAGCAGCAGTACTGGCTTTTGTTATGTGTCAGTCATTTTAAATCCTGTTCTCTCCCTCATAAGACAGGAGGAAAATAAAAGAGATTCCTGTATCAATTTGCTACCGAGCCTGTTCAGTTGCTGTAACTAACTCACTATCATAGGCTCCTTCTTTGTCAACGGTTCACGTGTCAGCATGACACCGTGCTGAGCTGCCCCCAAGTGCTTTTTTTGCTAAGACTTGGGTCTGTTTCTCCTTTTCTCTGCTAGTTAGTTGCTCCTGGCCCGTCTTCCCCTCTTTGCCCCTCACACCTCCTTCTTCTGGCTGGAAGGGCTGAGTTTATTGTCCCCGCTGCCGCCCAGGTGTGACAACTGCTGCCCAGACGGTGAGGAAGTATTTCACAATCCCACTGCAAGAGTCTACCTGGAGCTTGATCGCGCAACAGCCTCCTCCCGTCCCAGTTCAAATAACCAGAGTTGTACGCCTCTTGCCTATTTATACAATAAGCACTAAGGTTACACTTTATTTACAACTTTTGAAAAATGTACAGTTTCTTACATGGGTTACTTGTGCAAAGTTAAACTTCTCAACTAACAGACCAATGCGCACACAAACGACACTGGAACAGTGGACAACACAATTGTAGGTTTCATCCCACACTGCTGCTTAAGGTACTGTATCCAAACGTAGAAACTTAGCCTTACAAAAAAAGGGTCTGGACTTACAAATGTTTTTTCAGAGTTGAAAAAATACTTTCATAAAACTGAAGGGAAACTAACTCAAGCATGCAGCAGTAGCTCACACAAACCACAGAGTAATCTACAAAGAGCAGAAACTGCAGCGACTCAAGTGCCTACCCCGTACTTTATTCATACTTTCCACAAGGCAAAGGTGGATCCCAAAGAACTTATCTTTCTCAGCTAAAGATAAGGGGCAGGAGAGAGCCACCGAAGGAGAGTAATTCCACCGCTGGAACACTTCAGGTTTTACCTCTTCCTGAATGTGGAAGGTCTTTCGCTCAGAGTACCACAGCGCTACCTGGTTTTGTCCAGTAATGCCTCAGTGACAGGACTATAGAAACTTATGGAAGCCATCTCTGTAGGCATGTCCTTTAAAACAAAATTTAAAAAAAGAAAAAGGGGGGGGGGGGGCTTGTTTCTCACCCTAAGCAAAGATCAAAGTACCACAACTGTAGTGATTTATGTATATCTGTACATAAATCTTGCCTGTGAAGTGCAGCAGTAACTAGCATTCCACAGTCTTACTAAATATTTGAATTGGAATCAATTTAAGAGTCGGTTTTTTCCCCGCGAGTAAGGAGTTGATAAACCAATACAAAAGGGAAACCGGAGGTTATTTCTTCACTCAGTACTTACAAATGCAGTGGGGTCTAAACCAATAGTAGAGGAGAATGACCAGCCTGGACAGATCAGCACTTTAGTTAATATCAGTTAAAAAATGTATATGTATATAAACATCCCTTTTATCAAGCTACACATAAGCATCACTGTGTATAACACAATTACAATTAAAAGCTTAGTGTACACTACAGAAATGCACAATACTGCCCTAAGACTGGAGAGGGACCACAGAAAATGAATTCAGCGTCAGTAACTCTTTTGCAAGTAACCCAAGTACAGAACATTTGACTTCAAGGTGGGTGCTTTCTGATGTCCAAGGAGGAGAAGCTTCAGCAAGGGAGGGTGGCAACAGCACAACAGCTATTCTGCTTTCAAAGTAAATGCTAGGAGGAAAAAGATGACTGAGACACTTTGTTTATTTTCCTCGTCAACAGAGTGTTCATTTGCATCATCCTGGGTCAACAGTCACGCCAGCTCTGTTCTACTATTGCAGAAACCCGTTTTTCATATTCCCGCTTATTCTCCTGGTATAGCTGAGCTGCCTGGCTGTTTGCTGGACTGTTAGGATTTGGCTCATCCAATAGAGACTGTGCAAAGAGAAAAAGATTCTTAGGCACTTGAAAGCACGCGTAGTTCTCCAACACATTCCTTAAGCTATCCATACTGATAAGAGTGCAGAAGTTCATCTAGATACAGGTACGGTACATCGCATTATTCCAGTTGTAAGTTATTGGAAGCTTTCGCTGTCAGTCTTACTCTTAGCAGTGCAGGTGGGTGTTTAATTGGCAGCCAAGCAGCAATACCCAAGGAGTGCAACCCCCAGATGGGTCCCTTCAGTGACCACCTGCTGTCACCCTCTGGCCAATTTACACCTGGGAAGTAGTCACACTTTAGCAAATATCAAGGTATAGCTGCTACACTGGCTATCGGGAGGGAAAAAAAAGTGTTTCCTGAGCTGTTTTTGCCAAAGCATCCTAATTTCATTCTGCCTTTTCATGCAGAGTTCTTTTTACCTGTATGGATGTTAAGATGGA